TTGGGGGGCGCGAGGCGGGCGCGGTCGCGGGGGTCGACGATCTTGACGGCGGTGTGGGGCATCGGGGTGCCGACCGAGGCGCAGCGGCGGTCCGCGGGGTCGGCGGGCGACGTCATGCAGCTGACGGGCGACGTCTCGGTCATGCCGTAGCAGATGACGAGGTCGCGCAGCCCGAGGCGGCGGCGGACCGTCTTCATGAGGGCCTCGGGCACCGAGGAGCCGGCGACGATGCCCTTGCGCAGGCGGGCGGGCGCGCGGTGGTGCTCACGCCGTGGAGGCCCGTGGCGTCGTGGTCCGCGCACATGCGCAGCGTGGCGACGGGGTCGAAGGCCGGGCTGGGGAACAGGACGGCGGCGCCCGTCGTCGCCGTCGCCATGTACCCCAGGATGGAGCCGAAGCAGTGGAACAGCGGGGGCGGCACGGCGACGCGGTCGGCGGGCTCGAGGCCCATCCGGTGCGCGATCAGGATGCCGTTGTTGAGGATGGACCGGTGGCTGAGCATGGCCGCCTTGGGCGCCGACGTCGTGCCCGACGTGAACTGGATGTTGACGGTGTCGGTGGCGTCCAGCGGCGCCGAGGGGACGACGCCGCGGTCGGAGCCGTCGAGGAGCGCGCGGTACGGCGTCAGCGCGCGGCACTCGTCGAGCTTGAAGCGCACGCCTCGGTGCGACACGCGGTTGTCCACGACGATGACGCGCCTGAGGCTGGGCACGCCCTCGCTCTGGGGCGCGGGCGCGCGCAGGTCGCCCGCGATGCTGGCCAGGAGCTCCTCGTTGCTGCGGCCCCGGCCGGGCTTGTACGCCAGGTCGGTGACGGCGCCCATGATGAGCACCTCGGCCGCGAGGTGCTTGAGCGCGGCCTCCACCTGGGCCGCGTTGAAGGACGGGTTGAGCGGCACCAGGACCGCGCCCAGCTTGAAGCAGGCGTACGTCAGGGCGGCAAACTCGGGCGTGTTGCCCTGCGATATGGCCACGCGGTCGCCCTTCTTGACGCCCAGGCTCGCGAGCGACGAGGCCAGCCGGTTGGAGAGCAGGTCCAGCATGTAGTACGTGAGGGTTGTCTCGAAGGCCGTCGGCGTGGGCGACCGCGTGATGACGGCGGGACGGTCGCCGTGGCGGGAGACGACCCGCGCAAAGTGCTCCGGGATCGTGCCCATGTACAGCGGCGGCTGTGACGAAATGTTAGCCATTGTGAGACGAGATGACCCGGCGGCTGACAGCAAGGAGGCCCCGCGGCTCATCAGCTCGTCGTGCCACTCGCGAGAAGCCATCACCGCCAACGCCCGAAAAGCAAAGCACAAACACCCACCTCACTCGGCCCAGCCCGGTAGCTCAATCCCTCCGTCGACATTGCCCGCCGCGCCCCGGCAGCGCTCCAGGCCCTCCCGCTCACCCGCCGTCCTCCCGCGACGCGCAGCAGCGTCCTCATCCTGCGGGCCCTATCCCGTGTCCAGCTGTGGGACGGTATACCCAAGCCGGGTCGCGTGTCAACGAAGCCCACCCCGAGCCCGCGATGACGTAGTATACACACTCGGCAAGCTCAATTGGCGCGTCCCGGCCCTCGACTAAACGCAAAGGAAAAGCGACAATTCGAGAAAAGAGTGCGCTCTGCGAGCGGAACACGCGCAACAGTGAGGTGTTGAAAAGAAGAGAAGCTGTAAAGGCGGAGAAAGCGGGTGTCTCATCCCCTCACGCAGCCTGCGCCGCCGTCCAGTCCGTTGCCCGGGGTTCGTCACCCTCGGCCCAGGAGGCAGGACGATTTCCCCGCATTTTTTCCTCGCTCCAACGGCCGCTTACCCCACACCGCGCTAGGAAGGAATCGTCAAGTGGCTTGTTGCTTAATAGGCAATTTCGTGAGAAGCTCGTGTCCAGCACGGATTTGGGTTTCAAAGGCTCTTTTTTGTCTGTTGCGAAAAAAGTGTTTCAAGTCATATGTATGAATGTCCACGACAACTATCCGCGCGCGAAATCGAGTATATTTGGAAACCTTGTAAAGCTACGAACTCACTTGCGGATAACTCATTTGGGTGTGGTAATGAGCATGACTTATCTGTCGACTTGTAAGATTCTGATAGTCACTGTGATATTGCCGGACAAACAGTGACTCTGCAGTTAAAGGAGAACATGTGTACTTGGCAGATAGCCGAATATCAACGTGCCGGCACTTATAACCACCCCCTTCTTCCTCATTATTAATCTCTTTACTCTTGACAGTGCGTTCGGTTTCAACCAACCATATGTAATATTAAAATTACAAGTGTCCATACAAATCTCAGCCCCTTTCCCACGGATCCATACTCGTTCCAGCCTTGGGTACGGGCAGAAGTACCCATAGCCTGTGGTGAGCCAAAGGGACACACTTTTCAGCTGGATATCGGGATGTTGGGCCAAGGGCTGCTAGTATTCATGAACCAAAAGGGCACGTGTAATTTGGATACTAGGGATACTTCTCACCAACTGCCTTTGCTGGATAGTCTGCTCGAGAAAAGACTTGAACGTTCTGCTCCACCAATCGAGTTTCACCGCGACTCAACCGTCTGAGCTGGTAGCTGTCGCGACACATGTCCGTGAGGAAGGGCGGTTCTTTGCGCGACTCATTGTATTCAATCTTACTATCTTCTTGATTATCACCGCAACGGCAGTTCCAATGTTCGCCAGGACCTGGCTTCTGCGCCGTGTTCCAAAAGTAGTCGTACCACAGCCTCATGACCATTGCTCGAGGCAATGTCCAGCGGCGTCCTTGAATCATAGTCCGACATGCCGACATGATTTACGTCCGCTCCATTATTAATGAGTAGCTGGACTATTGCCTCATGACCAGCCTCGGAGGCCGCTGCAAGTGGCGTGCTACGGTTAGTAACCGTATTCACATCCGCCCCGTTATCGATGAGTAGCCGGGCTATTGCCTCGTGACCAGCCTTGGAGGCCGCTATCAGTGGTGAGCTACGGTTAGTAACCGTATTCACATCCGCCCCGTTATCGATGAGTAGCCGGGCCGTTGCCTCATGACCAGCCTTGGAGGCCGCTATCAGTGGCGTGGATTTGTCGGCTTCCGCATTCACATCCGCCCCTTTATCGACGAGTAGCTCGACTATTCTCTCTTGGCCGTTCGACAGAGCACTAATAAGCGCCGACCTGCAGTAGTAGCATGGAGGATCTATGCGCGCTCCCTTGCTCAGCAACAGCCTAACCAGGGACTCATGGCCATTCTCGGAGGCTACCACAAGTGGCGAGGACCCGCAAGGCTCGATAATCAGGCTCCAAAAATTTATATCTGCCCCCTCGCTGATCAATAGGCTGGCTATTGCATCATGGCCCTTCTGCACTGCTCTCAGAAGCGCAGGACCCCCACAATCTAGATCTATTCCGCTTTCAATAAGAAGCCTAACCATATGGATATGGCCATTCTCGGCGGCTACTACGAGTGGATTGGGTCCACCGGTCAATCCATCATCCATCGCGTCGTTCACTATCGCGCCGTTCTCAATGAGAAGGCTTGCCACTTCCTCATGGCCATGTTTCGAGGCAATTGTCAGTGCTGTTTGATCTATGAAATCTTCATCCTCAAAGATTTCACCGACGTATGCGCCATTCTCGATGAGAAGCCCTGCAAATACCTCATCATTTTCAGCTGCGGCATACATGAGTGGGTGTACATCTGTCTCCTGAATCTTGTTGCCGTAACTGAATTCGTTCAAATCGGCGCCGGCTTTGATAAGAATCGACACCACTGCCCAATGGCAATTGGATTCTGCTCTTAAAAGCGGTGTTAGTCCCTCCTGGTCACGTTCATTGACATCTGCTTGTGCGAGGAGAAGCAGCTTAACGAGACCAGCTCTACCCTCCTCGGCGGCCCATGAGAGCGGTGTGCAAGTGAAGTAAAGTCCCATATCTTTTATAGAGTTCAGGCCCTTTGTGATGTCGACTCCATCGTAGATGGTCGAAGGTAAATTGAACAGAGCAGCCACGGCATCTTTGTTACCGTTAGCCAAAGCGGCAAACAGCGGGTAGTCGTGTCTTTCGCCGCGTATATGGATATTCGGATGCTTTCGAACCCTCGTGCGGATGAGATTTGGGAATCCCTGGTCTGAAAGTATATAGAGAAGATCCGCGTCTGGGGTAAGGCGGCTTTTCCAATTTGCCCGAAACGCATATCCAAGACTTACCCATTCAGCAGTGGGAAATTCTTCTAGAAATTCATCCTGCCGGATGGACTCCGCGGCGTTTTCAGCATGGTAGAGGACATGCTGAGTTGCATAACGCATTAATGGAAGCGTGTCTTGAAGGTCATAATCATCAAGCAAAGCAGGAAAGATTGAGGAATCGATGGCGTGCTGGATGTATATAGAGCAATATTTTTTCAGTTTTTCATGCCCATTGTCCTTCCAATTGAATGGAAGACTAGGCCACAATTTCCGAAGACCGTCGTATTTGAGAAGGAAATCTCTCACTGATTCGTGTATGAACTGCACAGTTGGTGGCGTGGATTGCACAACCTGAGCGAGACCCTTTGTGGAACTGAGCACATATTTCTCTGCCCGGTTACTGGTATATTCTTTTGCGAACATTGGGTCCTTGAAATGCCAGCAGCCGTGATAGAATTCTTCCAGTTCTAGTGGTCGTTGAGCCAGAAGAATCCACAGAATAGACAGTACTAAATCATCCACATTATCATTATCACGCATTATGTACTCGAATAGCTCGCTTAATTCGGATGGTAATTCCGATAGGCGGCTTTTGAAGGTTGGCCGGCCGTTTCTTTCTTCCTCGTTCAGTATGTCCACAACAAGAACAACCCATAGGAACACACCTGCAGATTTATCGAGAATTTGAGAAACCAATTCTTCGCGTAAGTCAGTGTCTTCAATCTGCAATTCGCTTCGAACATAGTTCGCTATGTCTTGGGCATGACCGGATTGATGCTCAAGTCTCAGCTCTAGACCCCCCCGTATGTTGATATAAGGATAGTTGCGGCTGGAGAAACAAATTCGAAGCGGAATACCTTTCTGTGTTGCATGCTCCGCTAGTTCCTCGAAGTACCGAACCATATCCATGAATTGCAATTCATGGCACTCATCCAGAGCATCGATGAAGCCGATGAAGGCGCGGTTTCCCAGCTTTGACACTGCGTCCCGGAAAAGATCCTTCAGAATCCCTAAAGGGTAGCTGTCCAGACTCAGGACCCCTTCAAGTTCTCGACTGCCAAGTCCTATGTGCAGGTCGTCAAAATGCTCCAGGAGTTGGACAAGCAGCGACCGATACATTCCCAAGACTGACTTTTCCAGTGTCTCGCCTCTGGCGTTGAAGAAGAAGGAAGCAACTATCACCTTTCGGTCACGACAAGCCTGCTGATATTTCCTTTGTGTCTGCAACCACGCGAACTTGATTAACGTTGATTTGCCAGCACCTGGCTCACCACGAACCCATATCAAGCCTGGGTGTTTCGACAACAATGCCGCGTCAAGCCATTCCTGATAGATGGGGTCGTTCAAAAACCATTGACAGGTCTGGGCATGATTTTCTTTGATTGTATGTTCGCGAAAAGACATTCGTTTGAACCTGAGAGATGCCAGTTCTACTTGTTGGCGCTCGCGAGGTATATGTTGAGCTATACAGAAGATGTGAGAAACGCTGACCGCCAGCTGCGTCAAAGTTTTCGGAATAACTTACGAGGACGAGAAATATTTGTAGCCTTGGACTGGAATTCAGTCTTTGGTACCATCTCCAGAAATCCTTTTGCATAGGCGGCGGCAGCGGCAGCGGCATGGTTCTGCCATTCCTTGGTTCTATGTGAATCAGAGTAGTCGCAGATTCCTCGAATTACGAGGCAATCCATAACGTCCATTACACCAGCGGCTTCCATGTCAAAACATATGACGTCTAGATCTTTTGCGATTTCATCCCTCTTTCTACCGTGTTTCATGGCCTGGTTCCCGGAAGCGATCCCTCCATAATGGATTACCATGTTTGTCTTTCGATGTCCTCTTATCACGAGTCTCGCAGAGTCACATCTATCACAACTAGCCTCTGAACTTATATGTTCATAATCTGCCCGAAAGAGACGATCTTCCAAATTCGGAGGACGGAACTGGCTGTTTTTTTTGTTTGCCAATTTCTCTTGCAGTATAGACGAGAATCGACTGTCATTGGGTTCAAGTTCGTACAGCGCCGAGACAGTCGATAAGATAGCTCCAAGGGTACGTTGTGGAGTTCTGGGCTCCTGTCCTCCTGCTGTCGTTTTCACTTCATCGTACTGCATTGTCCTGACTCCGACAACAACATCGCCCAACCGCACGTCGGCTTTGCTCGGCACTCCGCCGCCGATTCCTACCACCAAGCACATACGGATAGATGGGAACGATCTGTTCATGTTCGCCGCAGCAACTGCCGCTTCAATTGTCCCCATTTTTTTGATTGGAAGGCAGGCCATAACGACATTGTGATGCAATATGCTCCCCAGTATGTAAAAGTTGGTGCCACCGTCAATTGGCAAGTGATGATGAATTTGGTCGAGCATCATCTTACTGGCCGCCAGTTCAAGAGGCAATGCGCAAACCCATCCAACTGTGTAACACTCGCGTGACAGCATGGAGGAGTCGGCCTGCGCCATGTTTACTAAGCCACTTGGGTAAGGATGAAGTGTCTTTTGCCGTGTAGTGATGGAGCTGACCGCGATGGTTTAGAACTTGTTGTGAGAAAGAAAATGAAAAGGGCGGAGAGCGGGATGGTTTGGAGGTTTCCTATAAATCTGAAATTTGACTTTAGCATTCACTACTCCTCACGAGGAAGGAACCAGAAAGTTGGGCTCGCACGATTTGCCGCCACAAACGACAACACTGCACCACAACGAGCTTCCTCCGCGTACATGTAGCACGACAGACGGTGGCTTCAGTGAAGCTCCGTGTTGTGCTGTGATGGGCTGGGCTGACCGCGGAGTCGCTTCTGAGCCTCCCCAGCCAGCAGCGTCTCGCATAGGACCGTTCTCGGCACGCTGTGGTGAAAGGTCTCTGCATCATTGATCCATGTCCTAGGACTTGAGGGCTCGCGTCACACCATGTGTGAGCACTAATTTGCGGGAAGCGCATTCCTTGACGCGGGGTGCTGGCAATATCAGGTTCCCAGTCCTGCAGCCTGCTGTGCGCAAGTCGCATGGTGTGAAGTGACCATCGACATGATATGTGAGCATCACTCTCCCCGCAGCAGGAGAGAGGGCACATGTACGGAGTACAGTGGGAGGCAACAATGATTTGCCCACCCGGCGGCGTTGAGTAACACAAGGATGGGCAAACACATGTTGCCTGTAGCTGTAGTCTTTAAAGCCTCTGCGCTGCATGGTCATAATCGGTCCTATGCACTTGCACCGCGGCGACCCGAATGCTCACCCAAACCGCGGCTCAAAAAGAGCGAGTACTCTCATCACTCGCAAGACAAAGCCCCCATGTACGTTTTGAATCGTCAAGCAGACTCTCCGAGTCCATGCCATTCATCTACTCTAGCACAGGCAACAAAGTGGCCCACATCCCCGAACTCCGGTCTATTCTGAACCCAGCATGCATAAAACGACGCTGTAAAACAAGTAATTCCGTCTAAAAGTACCAAGGAAAAAAAAAAAAAAAAAAAAAACCCAAAAACAACTTAATATATATACACACACACACACATATATATATAATGTGTGTGTGTGTGTGTGTGTGTGTGTGTGTGTACTCTTTCTCCCCGGATCAAGCAGCTACCAAACTGTCGAGCGGCACCAACTGGTTGCTTATCAGCACGACGAAATACTTGTGGTGGACTTGTCGATGCTTCGCTCATCCCTAACGCCCATGCAAATCTATTCTAAAATTCCTTTAGTTGCTTTCTTGCCGTTTAACTCTACTGCATGTACCCAACATTACCTGTCGGGAATAGCATCAGCTACTCCGCATCCCAAGGCTGTGTCTAGCACAATTCATCTTGTTAACCTTCGCGGTGCTGCAGCAGGAGAAGTCAGGATCACGGAACTTGTCCCTAAACCAAGTGGCAATCCCGAAGTTCCGCTTAATTGGAGCCGTCTGCGAAAGTACAAGGTGGTGGCGATGGTTCTTGAATACACAGCCTTCAGCGCCAACGAATTTTTTATATACATCTTGTTTCCCCTCCAAAACAAGAAATGCTCAAGTTCGAGTAAGATGCTTTGAAACCAGTAACTCCAAATTGTAAAGATGACGCCTTCTTTGTAGCAAAGAAAACGGATGGGAAAATAAGCTCCCTCGGCAAAATCCAGTTCCGCCATAGGCGAGTTCGCGTCGCCTCTAGGGAACCCCGATGTTGAATATATATGGATAAGAAGCGTAGGTCTGGTTTTGTAGGTTCAGGCCATCGTGCGATAGTATACAGTGAGGCGATTTTAGGGGTATCGATAGGCGAGGGCGTATTCACGAAGGTACGTGTCTTTGCATCGTAGCGACTAGGAGGGTAAGTGAGGATGATGCTGCTCGGGTTGCTGGTCTTTCCGGCTTTTCACGAATCCTGGTTTTGTTCGCCAATGTGTCTTTCACTTTCGGGCTTCCAAGTGCCTACAGCCAAGTTAGGTCGAAGCCAATAAGCTAGGGGAAAAAAAAACTCATGCACGTCGTTACATACCCTCGAAGTCATGCTTGACAAACGCCATTGGGTCGTCGTAATCCTTGGAGCCCATCTGCTCAACGCCAGGTGAAAAGCTGGTAATGGGCAACACAATCACGTCACCCACCCGCTTGCTCATTTCCATACCCGTGAAATTGTGCCAGTCAATTTTGCCCTGGCTCTTTTTCATGTCAAAAAAGCGGCCGTCGTTGAGGTAGTCCATAATTGTATCCGTCCACACCGCAGGGCCAGTCAAATCAACCACGTGCTTGCCCTGAAAGGAGGAAAGCTTGCCGTCCCGCTTCAAGGCCAGGGTGGAGTTGGTGATTCTGGTGATGATGTCTCGAAGCACCGGATGGCCGGGTTTGCTCTGAATGGTCCACTGGCAGAACTGAATTCGGCGACTGTACCACTCTGCCCAGTCTGGGCGATCAGGATCGGCCTCAATACCGACGACCAGGCCAATTGTCTCGCGAGGAATGTGCGAGGGGACCCATTCTATAGCGCTCTTGATGGCATAGGTGTCGATGTCGGAATAGATGCCGCCTCGCGCGAACAGAATCAGATAGCGGAAGAAGTCTGCCTTCAGAACAGGCAAGGGCAACGCACTGTAGGTCTCGAGGACTTCGGGAACGGCGGCGTAGAAGAGCTGAAGCAAGCTTTCAGCAACGCTGTCGGTTATGACTTCGTGTACGAATGTCGGGTGCTGGAGGGTCCAGGATGCCTCCTGCTCGCGGAAGGCGAAATCGCCGTCGGCCGGCGTTGTCTTCCATGTCTGCCAAATGTAGTTGGGGAACTTGGTCTCGATGTCGTAGGGGTACGCGTAGGCAAGCTTGTCGTACGTGGACATTCGCGACATGTCAATCATGGGCTTTTGCGGAACCGCTCGCGTTGAGTCGACGTGGGCATTATTGGGGGAAGCAGCGTGCGCGCGGGCGGTATCGCTGCTCGATTGTGCGGGCGAGCTATGTGAGCGTAGTGTGAGGAAAAAGATGAGAAATATGAGAACAGCCGCAGCCAGCGCGCGGCGTGAATTGGCCATGTTGTCGATTGATGGTGGCGTTGCAGGTGCTCGATTTCCCTCGTTTTCTCCTTCTTCTTTCGTCTATGAGCCAAGATTGTCTGTCGGGACAGGGGTCGACGGGTTGTTCCTCTGGTTTGGCAGAAAGGGGTAGTAGACCTTGTCCTGCGTGGGGAGCCAAGTGCGAGTCGAATCACAACCAACCAAAAACAAATTAAAATTGACGTCAATTCCCAGGCTATAAACCCGAGCGCGCTCGCAATGGCAAAAAGGAATTCCAAAGGGAAAAGGAGAGCTAGAGTACAAGGTGCATTGACAAGGCGGTTGTGGTTTGAATGGCGCCTTGCGCTCCTAGTGGGGGTTGAAGAAATGGGAATTCGGTTGATTGTTGTTGGCCGGTCTACTAGCAGCTGAGTGGAGCGTTTGGGCCGCAGCGCAAGTGGGCACCTGGGTTCTCTGAGCCCAGTTTTGTGGTCGAACTCTCAGGAATGAATTGATGAATTTCTTGACTGGCGAGCCGAAGGGTCACAGGTATCGAAAAAGTGGCACGGGCCCAAGCATCCGCGTCGTACTATCCGTATGCCGAGATGAAAGGGTCAACTGGTTGAACGACGGTGCACAGGATGACAGGACAGGTTGTTGAAACAATGCTGGTCTACCTGTCTCGGGAGAGGCTACCTGGCGAGATGTCGATGGTTAACGGCGCGGAGAGATGCAGGTTCGCAGCGCGGAGTAGTTCGTACATGACACAAGAGGACGCGCATGCAGACGCAGACGCAGAGGCCGATGCTGAAGCCAGCCTGCTTATGCCGGAGAGCCGGAAATTGATTTGAATTGGGGGCTCCGCCCCGTAGCGTGGGTTGAACGCGGATTGTGGCGTTGCAAGGTGACGACAGTGACGACACCGGCAATAGTTCTGGTTCTGCAGGTCTGAGATCGAGCCAACGGGTCCCGAGATGGCTGGCGCAGGTCAAATAGGTGATGCTTCACGGGCGTGCGCACAAGACCGTGGTACTTGAGGACAAATAGTGTGATGGGCAATGAATGGGTCTAATAAGTACGAAGGGATAGATGGGGCTGATGCATGGCCTCGTTCGGACGATTGGTTGTTGGCTCACGCAGGCGAGGAGGAGGAGGAAGGAGCAGGGGATGGTCGGCCTATTCATATCCAAGCTCGGAATATCTGGAAATCGGGTGGGCATTTTCAGATTCATGTCGACATATACTTGCTCCCTACTTATGCAGTGCAAATATTGCGATGTCCCAGCTGTGCGCCAGTGGCCGGTCAAACATGAACCGATCAAAGAAGCAGTTGAGCAGCATCGAGACCGTGGGGCACTGTGGTGGATACTGCTGGTCAATGGCATTAATTGATGCGCATGCACTAGAAGCAGCACCAGGGGTCAGCAGTACCGGAGCGATCCCGGCCAACCCGCCCAGCCTGCACATGTCAATGTACCCTGCTGGTGTGCACATGTGTACTTACGGAGTACATGTCAACTGGTATAATACTGCCGCACTACGGAGTAGCGCACCGGGATTTATACCAGCACTTGAGACCATTGACCAGACTCATCCAGTCTACATGTACCCAAGTACTCCGTGCTTGCCCATCAATTACCAGACCAGACACAAGCCCAGACTGGTCAATGCCGCAAAGTACGGAGTACTGCCAGCGCGCTTGTGAACCCACCACGTGCCAGCTGGCACACAACCTTGCCGCACCGTCCATCCATCCCCGGCGCCATGTGCCCGCTGTCCATCGTTCATCCAGCGTCTTGAACCACACCACGAGAATCAAGAGATTGTCTACAAGCATGTTTTTTTCTTAATTCTTTTTCTTTTGCTCCAGTCACTATGCTCAGCTACACAGAAGCTTCCTTATTGTGCAAATTCCGCCCCTCATCGCCTGTGAGACGCCCGAGCCCCCCAGTCGGCTCCATAGTAGCTTCTCGTTTAGCAAAAATCGTACGAACCTTTGTCGT